ACACTCACTTACGCACACTAGCACGGCACTGCACACACGCACGCACGCACGCACGCACGCACGCACGCACGCACGCACACACTTACGCACACTAGCACGCACGCACACTCACGCACTCACGGGGTGGTGGTTATAACTTAATAATTAAGGCTCGCAGTAGACACATGCGTCGAGAGTATTCCCTGCGCACAAGATTCAGGGCGCGAAATTAGCACCGGCCCACCGGCATATGCCGGCAAATTATGTGGAGGGCACGTAACATTGGCAAAACACCGGCCCTCCAAGCCGGTGGTTTCAGCCGTGTTAGCGAGTACGTACATTTTTATTTATAGCATTAATGAGCAAATAGACTACATTACTGTTTTACCTGAAGGATATTACACCATACTAGTTTATCAACATTTCACAAATTTGAAATAGAGAATGCGGACATTCTATTGAGAGCTTATTTTGAAAACATAGAACATATATAAGCATATACATCTATAAAACTATGCACGAACTTTGAATAAGAGAAAACAATTGCTATGTTCAATGTACATAACTATTTTAGCATTATTTACCTGTGTTGGAAATGTACACCATCATATATGTAAACCATCTCATATAAGCATTAAAGCAATATGTTCGTATCATCAGTAATGTGATTACCATCACAATACTACTATCAGGAGCGTATAATGACAATTTGTCATTATACGCTCCTGATACTATCTGATGTTGTGTAGCATATTCTATACATGTATGTATATGCATTTAAAAAAACAAACATTATAAAAATACAAATAGTCTTATTTTAGATCCCTTCTGGTTCAAACAGCAAATAAAATTTGTGAAGGCTGGTAATTATGGTGAGGGCTGGTAAAAAAAATGCTGTTTCCAGACCTGTGGGCCCGGGGAAAAAAATCCGAATTTCATGCCATGCAAGATTTAAGCACTGATCCATTCAATGCTAAGCACACTATAAGAACATTATGTGTCTGTCTGTGCGTGCGTGCGTGCGTGCATAACATCCAGGGCTCGAAATTCAGAGGAAACCTCATTGTTACGGATGTCATAAAGAAACCTGAGGGAAATCCGTACGGATTACTCAACAAGAACTTGCCGTTACAGTGCTCCTTCAACCTCAGCAACTTCTTACTCAATTTTGTCTTAAAATCATTAAATGTACACAGAGCAGACACAGAGTCTGTGGTGGCAGAGCCATTATACAGCATTTCAATCAACTATCTGACAAATCTGTACAATAAAATGCTGAGCTCCCAATGCTAAAATAGCAATGTTTAACTTTAAGGTATTTTATTCAGGACGGTTTGTCCTGCATGCAATTTTTTCTTTCATAGTAAAATTTAGCCTACCCTGTACGGATTACTTAGATTTTGAGTGGATTTGCTCATTTGTGAAGGAACAAATCCGTACGGATTAGTCCTCAAACTGGGGAAATTCGAGCCCTGAACATCGTGTGTGTGCATGTGTGTGTGCGTGCGTGCAAGTGCGTAACAACACGTGTGTCCGTTTTCGAGTGCGTTGAATAATCGTAGCACAAAGGCTTTGTATGTAGTGTTTTACCTGAGTAAAAGTTCCTTTGGCAGTTTCTTGTTTATCATAGAGTCATCGTTATCCGATGTGATTCGAGTGATCTGAAACGACATGCATGTATTGTATAAGATATGCACACATAGGTTACAGGAAAAGTTACCAGCCGTAAACACACACCCACACACGCACCCACACACGCATCCACACACGCACCGGGGACACATTGGCCCAAGAGAAGGCACACTGGGGCATACATCAAACAACAGCACAAAAGCCGGGGCACGCACGGCACCGCCACCGCACCGCCACACTCTTAACAGACACCACCCACGACCGCACCCTCCCCCCAACCGAAATGTACTTTTACCTACCAAATGGGTCTCAAAAATGTTTCTCTTACTCTGCTTTCGCCTTAATAGCATAATTTCCTGCAAATCCTTCAAACGCTCATCTGCAACACACAAGTTCACTGCATACACACCGCTAAAAACAACAAAACTACAGTCTCTCAATATTACAGACCTAGTCAACCCCGACCCCACCGGCCTTACCCCTTTCTGCGTCCTGAGGCTGTGGACGCTTTCAGAGGTTTTTGCCATTTCAATAGAACATCTTTTACCGATGCCTTTGCCGCTTGAAAAAGCGAACATTGGGAAAAGTGCCATTGCTGCTTCGACAGCGAATTGATCGCGACGGGGGTGAAGGCTCACCTTTCACCCCGGCGGAATTGAAGAAATCTAAAAAGGACAAAACCCACAAAAGGTGATTCGTGGGCAAAAACAAGGAGCGGCCCACTAAAAAACGTACTGCTGGCCCCGGGCCAAAGCAAGCGGCAACCGCCTAGGAAGCAAGACATTCCAACCGCATTAAGCTCGATTATTAACATTGATATTCAGCCCATTTCAATATCCAAAACAGTTGATAATCAAGGCATTCAATAAATCAACATGATTAATCAGCATTTCAATATCCAACATGATAATTTTTTACCATTTCAATATTCAAAACATTGGTTAATCAGCCATCAAATATCAAAACCATTTTGGATATATAGCATTCCAATATCCAAGACATGAATATCAGGCCAATTCAAATAAATCAAAAACATGATAATCCAGCATCAATATCAAAAACATTTGCATATCAAGCATCAATATCCAACATTGTATTTCAGCATTTCAAATATCAACATGGATATTGAATCAAAATCAAACGATTGATATCAGGCGGATCCAATTAAATCAACATGATATTTAGCATCCCAAAATCCAACATGATATCAGCATTGCAAATATTCCAATATTGATTTACCAAATCAAAATATTCAACATGATTCAGCAATTCAATATAACAATTGAATTACCCCATCAATATCAACATGATAAATCAGCAATTCAATAAAAAACATGATATCAGCCAATCATATCAACATTGGAATATCAAGCATCAATATCAAAACATTGGCACTTCAGCAATTCAAAATTTTTCAACCATGATGAAATTAGCATTTCAATATTCAACATGATGATTAGGGCATTTCGCAATATTCAACATTGATATCAAGCATCAATATTCAAAACATGATATTCACCAACTCAATATTCAACCATGTTAATTCGCCAATCAAATATTTTTTACATGATGATCAGCATCAATAATCAAAAAACATGATATATAGCAAATCATATTGCAAACATTTTTTGATATTTCAGCCAACACCTTCATACGACGCATCGCATCACCCCAGACCGCCTCGAAACGCAATCAATATCCAATATTGATGATTTAAAAGCAAATTTTCAAGTAATCAACATGGATAATCAGCATCAAATAATCCCAACATTGATATCAGCATCCAATATTCAAACATGATAAATCAGCGATTCAATATTTCAACATGATATCAAGCATCCAATATCAAACATTGAATATTAGCAAAATTCAATATCAAAACATTTTGATTAATTCAGGCTAATTCAATTATTTTCAAACCATGAGTATCCAGCAATTTCAATAAATCAAAAACCAATGATATTTCTACCCAATTCAATATTCAACCATGATATCGCATTCAGATTATTTCAACATGATATTCGCTCAAAATCAACATTGATAAATCCAGCATCAAATATCAAAACATTGATAATTCAGCATCAATATCAAACATATCATTCGAGGGCATCAATATCAAACATTTTGATATTCAAGCATCAATATCAACATATAATTTAGCATCAAATTTCAACATTTGATATTTCAGCATCAATTATTTTTCCAAACCATGCGATACAATTCAAGCATCAATATCAACAACCATTGATATCAGGCATTCAATATCAACAACGATGCAATCAGCGGTCAAATATCAAACATTTAGATACAGCAATCAAAATATTGTCCAAACATTGGATAAATTCAGGCATCGAATATCAAAAAACATGATATTAGCATTCAATATCAAACATTTGATAAATGCAGCATCAATATTCAAACATCGAATATCAGCATCAATATTTCAAACATTTTGATGATTTAGCATCAATAAATTTCAAACATGGGATATCAGCCTATCAACTAAATCAAACATTGATATTCAGGCATCAATAAATCAAAACAATTGATATTCAGCCCATCAAATAACTCAAAAACAAATTGATATTTCAGCCAATTCAATATTTCAACATTTGATATCCGCATCAATATCAACATTTCGATGATTCAAGCATCAATATCAAAACATGATATCGGCTTCCAATAGTCAAACATGATATTTAGGCTCGATAATTCCAAAAACTTGATATTCAGCATCAATATCAACATGATATCGCATTTCAAATATTTCAACCTATGATATTAGCGGATCGATAATCCAACAACTTCATAATCAGGCATCAATATCAACATTTGATAATCAGGCAATGCAATATCACAACATTTGATCTTTCACATCAATATACAACATTGTATTTAGTATCAATTTTTCAACCACTGATATCAAGCATCAATAATCAAACAGATATCGCATCAATTATCAAACATGATAATTCAAGCATCAATATTCCAAACAATGATATCAAGGATCAAATTTTCAGCATGATATTTCAGCATCCAATATCCGAAACATCGATATCAGCATCAAATAAATCACATGAATTAGCAAATCCAATAATCAAAAACATGAATAAATTCAAGCATCAATAATCAACATAATCATCAGCCATTCATAATTCAACAATGATATTAGCATTCAATTTCAACATCGATATCAGCATCAAATATATCAACATGTATTAGCCATCAATCAACAGGATATCCAGCATCCAATATCAACATGATATTCAGCATTTAATATTCAAACATGATAAATCAGCCCATCAATATCCCAAACATTGATTATCAAGCATTTCAATATCCCAACGATGAATAGTCAGCCATTCCAAATATTCAACACTGATATTCAGCATTCAATGTCAAAACCATGATATTTAGGCGTCAATATCCAACATGATCATCAGCATCATATCCAAACCCATGGCATATTTTAGCATCAATTATTCAAACAGATAATTAGCATTCAAATATATCCAACAATGATAATCGGCAAATCCAATATTTCAACATGATAAAGCAGCATCATTTATCAACATTGATATTCAGGCATTCAATATTTTCAACATTTGATATTGGCATCAATAGTCAACCATTAGAATATCAGCAATTTCAATATCAACATGATATCAGCATTCAATAAATCAAAACGCATCATAATCAGCCCATCAATATCAACATGAATTTATCGGCATCAAATATCAAAAACATGTATCAGCATCAAAATGTCAACATTGATATTACGTCCAATATCAACATACAATATTAAGCGTTCAATTATCAAAACTTGATATTTACTATTAGCGAAATCCAATATCAAAGCCATTGATAGTCAAGCAATTCAACATAGGAATTGGCATTTTCATTACTAATATAGGGACGCTGATATCTGCATGCATTTCAATAATAAAACAATTGCACAGTACAAATATATAGAACGGGTGCTATCTGCCAATCCAATTTATTAGGGACATTGCCCAGTACAAAAATATATAGACGCTGATAATCTTCAAGCAATTATAGACATTGCACCAGTACAAATATATAGGAGTGATATCTGCAATCAAATATAAAACAATTTTGCACCAGTTTTACAAATATTATTAGGAACCGTGGCATATCTGCAGCAATTATAGACATTGCACCAGATACAAAAATATGATTAGAACCGGTTGATATCTGCACTTCAATATAAACATTGCAATTCATTTACTAATAATAGGAAGCCGTTTTGGATGGTCTGCATTTCAAAAAACACAAAGTCATGGCATCAGTACGGAAATATAAGACGTGATATCTGCATTCAAACATAGAAGTTTTGCATCATTACTAATATAAGGACGTGATAATTCGCATCATATATAAACCCATTTGGCAATCATTACCTTAATATTTAGGCGTGAATATCTTAAACGTCAAAACACAAAGGGCATTGGGCATTCCATTACTAATTTAGACGTGAATGTCGTGCAGAATTTTCAACAACAAAAAAGTCATTTGCATCCAGTACGAAAACATTTAGGACTGATATTAGTACTTGATGACATGCATGCGAGTTCGGACGCTAAGCATTAATTAACAGACAATTGGATTACCCATCCATGAATATAAATCTAGGCATAGTGCCAAGTAACTAGTAATTGACGCGGAAGTTCACGAGCAGAAATGAGCGGAAGGTGCCGCACTTATATAGGACGTTTGGACAAAAAACAAAAAACTTGCCATGCTTTAACTCTTTCTCGTGCTCAACACTCAGTCGCCCACCCTTTTCTGATCACCTCTCTCTCTCTTCCACTTCTCGTTCTTTTCACCCCCCTCTCTCTCTCTCTTCTCTCTTTTCTCTCTCTTCTTTTCTTTCTCTCTTCTCTCTCTCTTTCTTCCCTCGCCTCCACTCTCTTTTTTCACCCCCCCTCTTCTCTCTCTCTCTCCTCTCGCTTCTCTCTGTTCTTCTCTCTCACCTCCTCTCTCTTTCTTTCTTTCTCTTCTCTCTCATCTCTTCTCTTCTCCTCTTCTCTCTCATCTCTCTTTCTTTCTCTCTCTCTCCCTTCTATCTTCTATCTCTCTCTCTCTCTCTCTTGCGATCTCTCCTTTGCTCTCTTCTTTCTTTCTCTGCCTCTCATTCTCTCTTCTATTCTGTCTACACAAATTCCGAGCCCAGACCAAAATCTTATCCCACCCATCCATTAAATTTCAAACTCTCCCCACTTTCTTTCATCAAATCTCGTATAAAACGGGCACGTATTTTCTTTCAGTTTACCCCCTCGATCAGTCCACGGCACCAGTAACCGCTCACCGGTCACGGGGACAACGGAAATGAAAATCGATTAAGCTTGCAGGGTGAGTTGTCGCGCTCAATCACACAAAAAACGTTGCTCGCGCCACGCGGCCGGCCGGCGGCGCGCGGCTCTCTCTCTCTCCTCTCCTCCTCTTTTCTCTCGCTCTCCTCTCTCTCCGTCGGCCGCCCGCGCGGCTCTCTCTCTCTTCCTTCTCT